ACATTTTAAGTTTAAAAAGTTTGCTAAACTTATAATTAGAATAGATCAATTCTTCTTTATTAGCTGTAGCATAGTCTATTTTGAAGATAGTTTATCATAAATATTTTACTAATTTATTATCTTCAACACCTCCAACCATCATTTTCATCTTCTTAAATTTGTTCTCCAAACTGATTCCTAATAGACCAGGAGATTCTTAAATTCCATTCTAAATTTCCTATTAAGATTTAATCATGATGTTTAATACTTCTCCTGTTTATTTTTTATTAGTAATAATGATAGTGAATGAATACAATTTTTTGTGTTGTTCATCAAAATTCACTATGTGCGAATATTCAAACAAGTGCACTATTGACAGTCTTGAAAAAACTTTCAATGTTTGTTAGTGTTTACTTTGAATCTTGTATGCACTAATACAGCAAGTGAGTTGATGATGATGCCGTTTTTTCTTACCACTGGAACATTTACTACTAAGCCAAACAATTGTGTTATATATGTTTACAATGTATACCCTACTACATTTATAAAGAGATTGCTTAGTAAACTTTCACAAATAGTACTGCTGCCAACATTTACGCAAGATCTAAACTGGACTCTTTCTTAATGAAATGCTTGATTAAGATACGATAACTGTGATTCTCAAACCTAAAAATTTACAGTGTTAGCCTAAAAATATATTTAAACAACAGGATTTTGTGATACCAGGCTTTCTGCTAAGTTAAGAAGTATGCTCCCATTTGTCAATGTATTCTATCGGCTATTTTTGAACTTAAATTTCAACAACTTGTGAACTATTCTGTAGCAAACCTATTTCTATACCTTCAAAGAAATGTGTATTTTTGATTTTCTGCATTTTCTTATTTCGAGCCTCATTTTTAATGATTGATTGCAACTTTTTTTCCATTCAACCAATTTTCTAAATAAGTTTCAATATAAATAATTGCCTCTTATGCAAATGATCTATTATTGTTTATATTGATTGAGCATTCACAAAATTTGTTAAAGGATATCCGCTAGCCATAGGCTACAACTTTTTAAAAGTTTTACCTTTTACTTAATAGAACTGCCAAATATTAATCATAAATGCAAGGTTAATGTTTCAAGTTCATTAATAACTGTGAAAGTTGACTTTTCTACATGATCATGCTGTCAAACCAGATTTAATATTCATGAGTATCAAAATGCAAGCATAATTTGATCCGTTATAAACTATTTCAACATTTAAGATACTAGATGGAATTAGTGTTAACTTCTTCTCTAATATGTTTAACTTCCGCTTTTAAATTACAAACATGATTATAATTCTTCATCTTCTAATCGATAGAATAAAGATATATATTAATACATATTTATATTAGTCGTGTATTATCCATTAAGCATAATAGTTAAATCAATTAGTATTTGTTAACTACAATGTATAAAGTATGTATCATTAAATTATACGCAAATAATTTTATTTGAGCAAAGTGAATATGGAAAATAAATAACTTTATGTATTTCAATTAGATAGAATATATTACCAAACAAAGAATTAAAATAGTTGGTACAATTAGTAGTATCGCTAAACTCAAGCAA